GTGTTCAAGGTCCGATGACTGGCCATCGGGAAACTTGTACAGCACCTGTTTCTCTGAGGAGATCTCAATGGCGAGGAACCAAGCCTATTTCGCCCTACAGGAATAAGGCCGGACAACCTGGATATCTTTGGTACAGACCCTCCATCCAGAACCGCACATGGTCAAACCCCTCAAGGTTTCAATCTCACTGACCAAAGTCCAGAAAATACTGCAGAGAACTTGAGCTGCGTCATACTGACGCAAAAAAAACAAACATTCACAGCAGACTCATTGTTTGGAACCACTTATATGGATTATAAAAGCATTTCTAAGGGCCACTTGCTGGACAGATGATCTCAACTTCCGTCTTTTAGAATCAACAAATCCCCCCAAACCTTTCACCTGCACTGTAAGAGTTACAAAAACCTTCGCAGGTCCTCCCTCCTGGCGGCTGTCAGGGTGTATAACGCTGCCCTAGGCTAGGACTGTTAGCCCTTCATCTGCTCATCGCTGGACAGCATGTTGCACTATTGTGCTTTTTGGGACAGTCAATCTGTATATACCTATGCGCACTTTTACACATAGTTTAGTGCTTAACAGTGACTATGAGCATATTTTGCACACGCCTAACTATTTGTTTATTTTGTATTGCTGCACTTATTTTAATTCTTAGGCTGCTCTTTTTGCTTGTCTTGTCTGTAACACCTCAAGTTCCCTCCGGGATCAATCAAGTCTCATCTATCCACCTGTCCTTCTGCGGCCTGGAGCTGTAGATCGGCCTGCTTGTGGCGCCACTCACCGATTTCTTTAGGGGAGGTGAGGAGTCCGAAGAACACGATCACACCCCCGGCAAACTGCACCGAGGAGGTGACCAGGAAGGCGTACTGTAAAGGCAAACAGACCGGCTTCAACAGGGGAGGAGCGCTTGACGAGGCACGAAGCGCGTCTGTAAGGGGCATGCTCTGGAGCCCTGCGGACAGCTGAAGAGTCCTTTTCTGTGCCGACCACTCATATTGAGCTGACTAAGGCGATATATTTCTATATTTAATCCCCCCCACACACTTCTGCTGGCACAATGCAAACAGTTACAAAAATGTGAAATATGCTCCCCCACTAACACGTCAACAATACTAACTCCTTACACTTATATAGCGCCTGTCTGGACCCTCCACTCTGAGCTCTTCCCAGGTCAGGGGGAATCCCACTACCCCCACCAGTGTGCGGCCCCACCTGGATGATGCTCCAGTCCTCTCACACACACCAGCTCTCAGTGGGGAGGAGAGCAGAGGGATGGAGCCAGTTCAGAGAGGGGGGTTATTAGGAGGCCATGAGGGACAAGCAGCCACAGACCGCTGTAATAATAGCGCTCCTATATCCGATTGACTGAGCTACCGCAGGCGAGTGATTGAGGTAGAAAGATATCCAGGGGAAACCACGCTGAACGGACTGTGCGTTTGTTTGGTGTGATTGTTTTCAAATCACTTTTGTAGGATATTAGGAAACGTTTCTGGTTTCTAGAAACTTTTTCTAGTTTCGAAGGTGGTGCTGTGGCACCGTGGCTCAGGATCTGCGCCTGTGGCCGGGAGGTTTCAAATCCAGCGGCCGGCAGGGGAATCCTACTCCGTGGGGCCCCTGAGCCCCAGCTGCTCCAGGGGCGCCGTATAGGTGGCCGACCCTGCGCTCTGACCCCCAGCTTCTCTCTCCCTGTCTGTGTGTCTCATGGAGAGCGAGCTGGGGCCTGCGAAAAGACAAACGAACTGAGACGCCTCACACTCGCCTCGTATCCGTAGCACAGCACGCTGGAAGCCAGGAACGCCCCCAGGATGTTCCCCACGGAAGCACAGGCGCTCCACAGGCCGAACACGAAGCCCCGCCTGAAGAGAGAGGGGGAAGGCGACTCACGTCAATGACCTTTCACCTCTGGGCAGGCGGCTGCTGCTGCTGCTGCTGCTGCTCCCATGCTCCCACACAGGAAGTACCGCCCCCCCTAGACAGGAAGCCGTCCCCGGTCGGACCGACGCGGCACCGTGGGGGCCGTGACAACCGGGCCACGCGCAGGTCGGCCCCTGAGGACCGCGGAGCGAACTGTGGACGGTGTCCAGCTGGGCTCCAGCTCCTCCTCGGGCCCTCTGGCGTCTCCTGTTTGTATGAGTTCACATACCCCCCTGGTCCTGGAGGGGCCCCAGGCCAGTCCAGTCTCAGACGTCTCCCGTGTCTCCAGACTGGGGACCCCCGTCTCCAGACCACCGCATCAGGCGATCTGTTGAATTGCTTCCGAAACCAGCCCTCCACAGAGTTCGAGCGGATTTTGGCCACCCCGCCCGATCACCTCTAAATTCGGCAGTTTAACAGATCGCCTGCGTTATTCACCACGATGCGCCCCCCGTCCTTAGAAATCGACGAATGGTGACCTACAACATAAAAGCTGTAAAACTGGGGCCCCCCCTGGAGTGAACTACACACGCTGAAATGTGAGCAGCTGCTCGCACGAAGGCGTGTCACAAAGGAATCGAACCCGGGGCTCCCCGCGGAGAAGCAGCACCAGCCACTGTCATGTCATGAAAAACTTGACATGCATTAAGGGGCACCCACTTCATCCCCCAAGAAGGGCAGACGCACCCGGAAGAGGAGGTGGCCAAGCGAAAAAACAAACAAACTACTACTTCACTCACTGAATCAAGCCAGAACTTAGTTCACAGGCGGTATGGGTACAGTGGTTAGCTTTGCACTGGAGCATATCCCAGCAAGCAATGGGCACAAGGCAGGAAACAGCCGGGTCAGGAGAGACACACACACAAACACACAAAGACAAACACACCAGGGCTAATTTCTTAGAAGCCAGTTCACCCACCATGGACAGTGGGAGGCAACTGGAGCACCTGCGGGAGACCCACATGAACACGGGAGGAACATGCGAACTTCACCCAGACAGCACCCCCGGGGCCCGGAACTGAACCCAGGGCCCCCGGGCACCTGAGCCGCCGTGCCGCCCCCAGGTCACAGCCCAGTCTGTGACCTCATGATGGGAAATCACTGGGCGACACTGTGGGATTGTGGGATACTTGGCTGTACAGAGTGTGTAAAAAAATAAAAAATAAATGAAAAGTTCAGGACATCACCAACCAATGTCTCTTCACCACCCCCCTCTCTCCACTCTGCTCCTTGGGTGTTCCTAACGGCGGGGGAACGTTTCACATTCCAGGCCGCAAGCAGACGCCAAGAGTCGAGCCGGGCGACTTACCCAGACATCCCGAACCAGTTTCCCATGACCGCCACCACGCAGGGCCAGACCGCCGACTGCAGCAGCCCGTTCAGGACCCACAGGGCGCAGTAGAAATAGACGTTGTAGAAGTGGAGCCATTCGGTCAGGGTGCCGAAGAGAAACTCCTGCAGGGGAGAGGGGAGCAAGAGAAAAAAAAAAGAGAGACAGGGTTGTCACAGCAGCTGGCTGCACCTTTGCCAATCGAACGGCTCGTTTGGTTTCTTTTCCCCCCTGTCCACTTCGGGGGAGGGAAGATTCCCGGCTACCGGCTGCGCAGGTCAGGACAGCACTTAAAGAGTGGGAAAAAAAAACCCCATCGGTGCCCTGGTTTTTTGTTTTTACTTCGGCTGAGCCAGAGTTTCAGCTGCCATGCCATCTCGCGTTTTGCAAATCAGTTCCACTT